GGACAAATACCATATGTTCTCCCTGATCGGTGATGACTGACTGAACACCAAGAGGGAAACCTGTTGGAGTGAGGTGGACACTATGGGAAATGGTGGCTTGATCAGCATAGCCCTGACTGTTAATGAACAACTTAATACATTATCCCTCTTAGTAGTTTTTTTTATCTGTTCTACTTAATATGACTGGTTTAGATCTGTAATTGATGCACAGTTATTCTTAAGTGTTGAAAATTAACTGAAATGTGATCCCTGTTGAACATGGTGGTGGGAATGGGAGAGGGAAGAGATGTATAATTTGGGACATGCTCAGGCTGACTTGCCCCAAGTGGCGGAGTTGGAAGCATACCAGGGGATTCCAATTCAATCCCATCGAGGTGGCATGTACCAATGCCATCTCACTATTCCAAGTGATCAATTTCTGTTCAGAATTGATCATAATGAAAGGACTAAGAGTCAAGGGAGCACATAAACAAGTCTAGTACCTGCTAACGCTAACCGATGGAGTAAATAAAGGGGAGAGTGATCCAACATGGGAAGTGAGATACTCAGCAGACTCATAGAATGGCAGATGTCCTAAATAGCACTCTGGCCTCAGAATCAGCCCTAAAGGCATTCGGAGCTGGCTGAAAAGCTCATGAGAGTATTTCAGGCATGGAAAGCCAAGACACTCTGGCAAAAGATCTCTGCGAGTGAGATCCCAGTGGAAAGAACAGGTCATCAAAGAAGGAGGTACCTTTCTCTGAAGGGAGGAGAGAACCTCCACTTTGACTATGACCTTGTCTAAACAAGATAAGAGTCGGAGAACTCAGAGGGCTTCCATAGCCTTGGAAACTCATGACTGGAGCATAGGGAGATTACTGATGCCATAGACAGGAGTGTCAATTGGTAAAGTCAACAACAGGAGTCACTGTGCACTTACTCCTCATGTAGGATCTCTATCCTTAATGTGCTGTACATTGAGATTTAATGCTATAACGAGTACTCAAACAATATATTTCACTTTGTGTTTCTATGGGGGTGCAAACTGTTGAAATCCTTACTTAATGCATACTAAACTGATCCTCTGTAAAAAAAAAAAAAGAAAAAAAAAAAAAAGAAATTATCAATTCCCAACTTGACTCTCACTGGGATTAAACATGACAATAGGTCTGCTCTGATTTCATCATCATTTAAAAAAAATCATCTATTATTTTTCACTTTATGTTTCTGTGTGGGAGCAAACTGTTGAAATCCATACTTAATGTATACTAAGCTGATCTTCTGTATATTAAGATAATCGAAAATGAATCTTGATGTGAATGGAAGGGGAGAGGGAGTGGGAAAGGGGAGGGTTGTGGGTGGGAGGGACGGTATGGGGGGGAAGCCATTGTAATACATAAGTCGTACTTTGGAAAATTATATGCATTAAATAAAAGTTTAAAAAAAAAAAACAAAAAAAAAAAAAAAAAAGAAAATAGTATAAGAAGGTGAGAAATCTCACTTTATCCCGCCTTCATATATATCTACCCATTCACATCTGTGCCTGTATGCTATGCCCTGTATCCAGTTTTTGAGAATGAGCCATCTGTACTCACATGACCAGCTCTCCCCTGCCTGTCCAGTCTTCTCTCTCTACCAGGCCATTCCCATCAATGCATAAACATGCTGTAATTTCTTCCCCTTAGCTCCTGCTTCACTGTCTGCTCTCATTAGAGGAAACCTTCTCAAAACATCGTCTACACTTGCTGTCTCTGATTTCTCTCCTTTATTCTCTGTTGAACACAACCCACCAAACTTAACTCTTATAAACTTCACTAATGACTTCCATGTTGCTAAATGGTAAAGTTTCAGTGGTCATCTTACCAGATTATTTCACCAGCAGCACCAGTTAATACCTCTGTTAACATCTTCTCATTGAAAATCTTTCCTTGACTTAGAAGATGAAATTCCTCTCTTGATTTTCCTACTACCCTCCTTCTAACTTAGTGCCCTCCTACTACTATTCCTGACTCAGTGCTGGAATGCCCTAGAGCTCAGTTCTTTTCTCTTTTCTATGTATACTGATTTCATTCTGGCTTATCATTGTACATACCATCTTTTGTTGCATGAGTCTATTGTCTAATTTTTATCTCTAGCCTTAGAATCTGAAATCATGCACCCATTTGCCTGATTTATATCTCCACTTCACTGCCAATCATGTATTGCTAACTAAATATGTCTGAAACATACTTTTCATTTTTCTGCTCCTTCTATACTCATCCCCATTGGTAAATGGTCCTTCAATCTTTCCTGTTACTCAGGCCAAACAAGCCTTGGCATCTTCCTGGATTCTTCTCTTTCACAGTTCACATCAGAACCATCAGTAAGACCTGCTTTCAAAATGCATCAGGATTTTTGTTCACCACTTCTGCTACTACCCCAGACCAAACTATCACCATCTCTTTCCTGGTCTTTGTCCATTCTTGCCTCTCTACATTCTGTTGTCAACAGAGCTGCCACAAAGATACTTTAAAGAGTTCAAATTACATCATGTTACTTTTCAACTTAAAATTTCACAATAGCTTCCCATTTTTTTCCCAGAAGGAAAGTCTTTACCTTGGTCAACAAGGTCCCATATGAAGGAATTTCTTGCTTTCTTACTCTTCAACCTCTACCATTCTCCTTTTCTTATTGATTCCAATCAAAAACATGCATAAAACATTCTATAACTACATTGTTAAAGATTTTATTTAAAATACATGGAAAAATAAAGAACCATTTTATCTTACTTCCCTTTACTTGTCTGTAGGTATATATTATTAACAACTTTAATAAGTATGTGCATCAACACTTTCTCATATATATATATATATATATATATATATATATAAAATATTCATGGTCTTTCTTTTGTACAAAATGAGCTCCTAAAAGTGTAGATGAAATGGAACTTATTCCATTCCTCAGTGGGTTTTCAAACCAATGTGAAAATAGGAACTAGGAAACAGGTGCTACAGAGACAACTGGTTGGCAGTTTGGAAAGAAAAGAAAAACTAGGTCCTTATGGCCCTCTTTCTGAAAACAAGTTACACTACAAACAGAATAGTTAACAGCAAAAGCTAAATGAATACAACTTATACAAGAGAGTATAGATATATTATAGTGTTTTATTATTTTGTAGTTTGGAAAGCCTGATAGCAATCAAGGGTACACAGAATTATGGAGACAGCTACAGAATTGTCTCTATAAAAACCCAAACTTCAACACTATTTTAAAAACCACTATCACTAGAGCTAAATTACACTTTACAAGCTGAAAATAATATTTTAAATCTTCTTTGTGAGACAAAAAAGTTCACATTCTAAATTTACAAAAAGAATTTACAAATAATGCATTTCAACAGAAAAATGGTCAAAGTATAAGAAACACGCAATTTGTAGAAGGAAAAAATGAGAACATAATATATATTCAACCTTTACTGTAATAAAGGATGCAAAGAGAAGCAATGAGCTGCATCTCTGAATCCATGTAACTAGAAGACTTTTAGAAATGGTAACATTCAGTGAGCTTCTAGCTCACTTCTGGAGAAGCTCTATACTGGTCCAGATAGTTGCTGGAAAGCAGTTTACAAGTAGATATCAAATTTTTTAAAAATTTCATTTTTATTTATTTGAAAGCCAGAGTCACAGAGAGAGAGAGGGAGAGACAGAGAGAGACACCTTTAATCCAGTGGTTTAGTCCCAAAAGGCTGCAGCGGCTGGGGCTGGGCCAAGCAGAACTCAGGAGTCAGGAGCTTCCCCAGGGTCTCCCACATGGGTAGAGGGCACCAAACAGTTGTGCCATCCTCCTCTGCCTACTCAGGCACAACAGCAGGGAGTTGGATGGGAAGCAGAGCAGCTGAGCCTCAAACCAGCATCCACAGGGAATGAAGGCATCACAGGCAACAGCTCAACCTGCTATACCTCAACGCCAGCCCCAAATATCAAAATTAGTTAAGTACATTTTTTTCTATTTAGAATTTTATTCTATTTAGAATTTTCGCTGCCAACTATTTATATTAAGGATATAATCAGACAACTTTTCAAAAATGTATGTGTAAGGATTATCATAGTGATGTTACCAATAAATTCAAAATATGGGAACACAGCATTGTTTAAATTAAATTTTGAGGGGCAGGTGTTGTGGCATGGCAGGTAAAGCTGCTGCCTGCAATACTGGCATCCCATATGGGCACTGGTTCATGTCCTGGCTGTTCCACTTCCAAGCCATCTCTCTGCTAGTACACCAGGGAAAGCAGTGGAAGATGGCCCACGTGCTTGAGCCCTTGCACTCAAGTGGGAGACCTGGAAGAAATTCCTGGCTCCTGGCTTCAGCCTGGCCCAGACTCAGTTATTGTGGCCATCTGGGGAGTAAAACAGCAGATGGAAGATCTCTCTCTGTCTTTCCCTTTCTCTCTGTAACTCTTCCAAATAAATAAATAAATCTTTAAAAAATTAAATTTTGATTCATTCGTACAGTGGGAATATATGCAAGTGTCACTGATTGAAATAAAATATTCTGTGATATACTTTCCAGTGAAAAACAAAACTACAAGTTTCAAAATAGCATACACATTTATTTGATTTCCACCTCAAATTTCAAGTGATTTTCTTTTTTTTTTTTTTAGTGTTTTTTGCATTGTATTTTTAAAATCAGTTAGAACAATACATATATTTTAATTTGAAAGAATGGGTGATATGTTGGCAAATTCTGCACATACAGAGGCACCTCTTTTGGGAACTTCCGCCCCTCATCTGGGGGTCTCGGATATTTGGTAGAAATGGCAATCAAGGCACTATTTAGCACTTGATGCTGAGTGCTCAGTTCAGTACACTTTATAGATAATGCCAGTGGCAAGACAGCTTCATCCAGCTCTACCATAGTGGTGGCATTTTCTTTTGGCGAGGTTATATAAAGTCTATTAACATAATAAAACAAATAAATTTTCAAAAATCTTCCCCAAGTAGAATAAGCTCATAAATTTGGCAAAGGAAAATGCTTACCTATCTCCCTTTGGTTTTCTTTTTTGTAGTGTCTTCCCTTTGGGTCTTCTTTCACTTCCTAAACAGGGGCTCCCACCAGGTCCTGTTACCCGTATTGATTCAAGGCCTTTGGAAGATTTTTTAAATGTGAACTCCACTGGTTCTCCTTCTTTTAGGCTTCTAAATCCTTCCATGAATAGTTTGCTCTGTAAAGGGAGGAGCAGAGAAAGTGAGAACATGATTATTGTCACTGTTTTATAAACTATATAATTTTAAGATTAGCAAAGCAAGATATTCTGTTACCCATTACAAAAGCATAAAGTCATGGTTTTTTTTTCTTTTAAGTTTAGTGAAATTTATACCATTTTAAGGTTTCCTATCTACTGGCAGTGAGAGAATAAGCTAATACCATTTTTAAGGCAATTTGGTAATCCTTATACAATGTATCTGTTCTCTTAACAAGCAATTCTACTTCAAAGACTCTACTGAAGACATATTCACACAAAGTTTCAATACAAAACACACCACAGTACTGTCTAGTTAAAAAAAAATTACAATTATCTAATGTCTATTGACTGGAAATTGTTTAAATTATAATAGAGCCAAGTACTACTCTATTATTAAGCTTCTAAGAGAATATTTATATTTAGATCTGTATGCATTTAATTGAAAAAAATGAAGCTCAAAGAACAATGTGACTAACATATAGCCATCAACATTAAGATTTCTGAAAGGTATCTATGTCTTTATGTAGAGTTAGAGTGTGCATTTATAGACAGTGAACGACAGTCATTTTTTCCAGTCCTGTTCTGGGAAAGTGGGGAAGCTTTCTGGTATATACTTCACTGCACTGTCTGAGCTTTTTATAACTTGAGAGGAAATTGATTTTTACAATTTGAAAGACAGTTGATTTTTCTGCACCCCTCCCCCAGTTTCCTAATTACAAAATTGTAACCATGGCTTTAATTATTCATTGACTCTTTCAGTAGTACTCTTTTCATCAGACAGCCAATTCAAAATATACTAAAAATAATTAGTTTTACTTATTTCTTCAAAACCTCTGTGAATATTTTACAGATAATTTAAAATATAATATTATTTTTAATACTTTTCTGAAGTTGCGGGGCAGAAGAAAAGAAACACAGTATGGTGGAGGACCTTAGTTCAAGTCTACATCCTTATATAAATAACTACATAGTTTTCAATGAGTCATTTAATCTGTTTTCTGTTTATCTGTAAATGCAAGTGATCTGATTTCTGAATAATAGTGCTTCTGAAAAAGACTCCATGGGGGAAAAAGCCTAGAGAGGAGTTCCTAGCCAAATTAAGTTTGTGAAATGCTATGTGTGTTGTTTCTCCGTGGGCTCACAAATCAGCACATTAAAAGGTTCCTACGTAATCAATAAAATAAAAAAAATCTTGTTCAACTACATGTAACCCCCTTTCAAGTCCATGCTTCTAAAGGCAGCTAAATACAGCAATTCCAGGCAAATGGTTGGCACAGCAGTTAAGATGCCACTTGAGACACACATATCCCATATCACAGTGCCAGGGTTCACATCTGGGTTCTGTTTCCAATTCCAGGTTCCTGTTAAGGCACACTCTGGGAAGGTAGCAGGTGATGGCTCAAGTACTTGAGTCCCTGCCATTCATGTGAAGGACCTGTACTGAGATCCCCACTCCTGGCTTCAGCCACTGCAGGTATGTGGGGAGTGAACCAGTGATTGGGAACTGTCTGCCTCTGTCAGATTTCAAAATTAGTAAATACAACAGTCTCCCTTTGTCCATAGTTCCTCTTTCCAAGGTTTGGGTTACCTGAGAACAACCAAAATCTAAAAATACTAAGTGGAATGTGTCAGAAATAAGCAGTTTATAAGTTTTTAACTTCACACAGTTCTGAGGAGTATGATGGAATTTCTCACTATCCCAGCTGTAGAGAATCAACATTTTATCCAGTGTATCTTCACTGTATACACTACTCACTAGTCACTCAGGAGCCATCTTGGTATTACATCAAGTGCTGTGGTGCCACAGTACTTGTGTTCAAGTATTCCTATTTTATTTATTAATGGCCCCAAAGCACAAAAGCAGCAACACTGGCAATTCAGATATAACAAAGAAAAGCTATAAAATGCTTCCTGTTGAGTGGAAAGAATTCTAAGTTAAGAATGCTGATATTTATAGCTACAATGAATCTTCTATCTGTGAAACTGTGAAAGAAAAAAAAAAATCTGTGCTGGTTTTGCTGTTGCATCTCAACTATCAAAGCTACAGAGGCCATAAGGCATAAATGTTTACTTAAGATGGAAAACGCATTAAATGTAGGGTTCAGCACTATTTTCAGTTTCAGACATCCACTGGGGGTCTTAGAACATAAAACCTGCAGATAAAAGGGACTAGTATTGTTATAAATAACCAAAGCATTTCATGGAACAAATAAAAACACTTCGAAAGTCAAGCAAAAGGAAGCTATTCATTGTAAAAGTGATATGACACATGAAAACAGACTTATTAACCTGTTTCTAGTGCAGGTCACCTGACATAATGAAACCCTTCATGCTGAAGTCTGCAATTTGATGAAGCCTTTGCAGCTGTCTGATGGTATGTAGAAAAAAAATTCTGTTTACACACTCTGAAATAACAAATTATTCAAATTATTTTTGAAGTTATTTTCACATTTCTAAAGCATCTTCTCATTTTTTTCTCCCAAGTCTTCTCACTAACTATAAGTAGTTTTATTTATTTATTTATTTATTTATTTATAAAGGATTTATTTACTGTATTTGAAAGGCAGAATTACAGAGAGGCAGAGGCAGAGAGAGAGAGAGAGAGAGAGAGAGAAAGAGAGAGAAGGAGAGGCAGAGGCAGAGAGAAAAGGTCTTCCTCAAATGGCTGCAATGGCCGGAGCTGGGTCCATCTGAAGCCAAGAGCCAGGAACTTCCCCTGGGTCTCCCACGAGGGTGCAGGGGCCCAAGCATTTGGGCCATCTTCTACTGCTTTCCCAGGCCATAGTAGAGAGCTGGATTGGAAGTGGAGCAGCCAGGATTCGAACTGGTGCCCATATGGGATGCCGGTGTCCCAGGCGGTGGCTTTACCCGCTAAGCCACAGTGCCGGCCCCTATAAATAGTTCTTTTGCTTTCAATTCCCTTTCTTCTTCCTTCCTACTAAGAAAATGTAGGTTATTTCTTTTAAAATAGATGAAGGAGAACATAGTTCAGCTGTTGAAATGAGGAGAATAAAGGGACAGTTTTTTGTTTGTTTTTGTTTTTGTTTTTGACAGGCAGAGTGGACAGTGAGAGAGAGAGAGAGAGAGAGAGAAAGGTCTTCCTTTGCCGTTGGTTCACCCTCCAATGGCCGCTGCGGCTGGTGCGCTGCGGCCGGCGCACCACGGCTATCCAAAGGCAGGAGTCAGGTGCTTATCCTGGTCTCCCTTGAGGGGCAACCAGGACAGAATCTGGCGCCCCGACCAGGACTAGAACCCGGTGTGCCGGCGCCACAAGGCGGAGGATTAGCCTACTGAGCCGTGGCGCTGGCCAAAGGGACAGTTTTAATCAGAGTTATTTTTCTGTAACAAAAATTCTATCATTTATTAATTTCTCATAGTTCCTAGTGTATGGGTTCACTTTTACTAACTTCAGTTCATCTTCCACTGTTTTAATTTTTGGTAAGTATCACTTGTAAATAAAACTGCTTTGCCAAATCTTAAGGAAAATTCCACTCTTATGGACAACAAAATTCTGGCTATTTATCATGATATTCTGAAAGAGCACTTTTTAAAGTTTTGTTATATAGGCCTCCCTTCTCAAATTTTATATATATATATATATGACAAGATAGTATGTATAACACTAGAGCTATACTACTTGGCAAAAAAATAATAAATATCCCTAAGAAATTATAAAGGCTCTGCAACAAAAAGATGAGGGTTCAGAGACTGTTCACTCTATGTTATCAGATAAAAAAAGCTATAATATAGATAGCAAAAAACTCGTTGGAAAATAGATACTTAGCTCATCATATTAGTTCACAAAATTCAAATTTCTCCTTTCTACTTGTCAATTTTTATGCAAGTTTCCTCCATTTTCCCAGTCACATCGGTTACAATCCTTAATTTTATCCAAACCATGTGCTGAATCTTGTGCATCTGTAACTTCAAAATCTCTCTTTCATCCGTTTTGTTGGTCTGCATAATCCTACCACAGGTCCTCACTATCTTCTGCCAGGACAAGTCTGATAGTCTCGTCACAGATATTTTTGGCAACAAGTTCCCCTCTATATTCCATGGCTTCTCCTACACCTGTTCATTTTCTCTGAATAAATCTCAGCCTGTCTTGGAAATCGACAACACTGCTCTTAGTTTGTAGGTGAGATCCTTTATAATCCTACTCTACTTACATTCCACTTCCTGTCCCGCAATCTAACCCACACTTCTCCATTAGTGAACCTGGCTATCTTACATTTCCTTGTAGATTTTATTAACTCTGTATTACAGTTTATTCTGGTTGAGAATGCACTTTTCTACTCACAGCAGTCTACCAAAATCCTAGGCAAATCTCATGGAATAGCTCAAATGATCCTTTATATAATGATCCTCGATTGTGCCAAATTGGGAATTCTCATTCACTTAACTGATTATTCTGTGTGGTTTTTATAGTACTCTGCTGTATAAGGCAACTGTTTGTATACTATCCTCCCATTTTCTTTACTCTTTTGGATTTATCTTTTACTGAAGGCCAGGGATTGCAATGTATATCTTAGTATTTCCCAAAAGGCTTAGCATAATGCCTGCAAATAGCCATCACTCAATAAGTACTTAAAAGAATTTTAGATTTGGCATCAGGAAAATCCTTAAGGATTATTAGTGGAACTCTCATGTTGGAGGAGGAGGGGAAAACATTGACTGAATTCCTTTAAATGAGTTATTCATGCAAAATCAAGTTTTCTGGCTCATACTACTACTACATAGATTTTCTTATTTTTAATGTCAAAGTGACACAGTATATAGCACATCTGGAATGCACTGATAGGATTATAATGGTTGAGGGTAATAACACTGTCAGACAACTCTACTTAGAAGTTGATATGAACCTATTTTCCTTGTTCTTCCTTAGTCTCTCTTTATGTGAGACATGGAAAAAGAGAGAGAACTTTCATCCACTTATTCACTCCCCAAATGCCTGCAATAGGTAGGGGTGAGCCAGGCTG